GGGGGCCGGATTGGGTGGGGAGGCCCGGCGGCTGCTGTGGGTGTGAGGTGACGCCGGGTATCGCTGCTCGTGCTGCCTGAGGCGCTGTCGGGGCGGGGAGGGGGGTAAAGCCTGTTCATGGCCGGTTCCTTCGTCCTCGTGAGCCGCCTGGCTGCTGTCAGGCTGGTCACGCTGCGGGGCGCCAAGCCTGGAGCTCCCCAAGGGCTGTGCAGATGAGGCTTGTGCGCTTAGGCCTTGGCCTTCGCCTGCCTTCTGGGGATTTTTATTTTTATGGCGCTATTTTTAGCGAACAGGTCACTTCTTTGTTTGTTCGACGTGCTAAACCCTTCCTGTGCGATGAACGTTGCAACCTTAGAATTGGTGGTGTGTGGAATTTCAATCTAAAACCTGCCCTTATGGGGAACGCCGTCTGGCAAGCTGTGTGAGGGAGGCTTCTACATTTTCTGACTAAAAACAGTTTCGAGAGGATTGCTGACTGCTGAAAGCTATCTGATAAAAGATTCTGGTGCTTCACGATACAAACGCGAGTGAAATTACAAGCAGGCAATTGGTGGTGAGGTTCTGGGTTTTTTGCTTTTGTTGTTCTGGATAAATATACTTCATAATTTTCTAAAGCTGCTGCTGAAGAATATTCTAGTAATGCTTCTTTCGCTTTTATTCCCACAGCAGAAAGATGCCCTGAAGTAAAGAGTAAGTTAAAGTTTATTTTCACTTAGATGTGCAAAGTTGTTAAGAAGGTTCCAGGCCTTTACTTGCATGCTAATGATGTAAAGCAGTTAAATACAGGTCTGTTAGTCAAAACCAACCTGTAACAATTACATCTTAATTAAGTTTTCATTTAACTTTCTAAAACTAATTTTACTTATTACTAAGTTAACAGAGCTAATGCCTTATTTATAAATGAAGGGAAAAATGCAGAACTGTTGGTTCAAGATGAAAAAACTGTTCTTTAACTACTATACAAAGGTTGTTGGCTGTTGATGATGATAACCCTGAATAGGAAGTGCCGTCAGATGCGAGAACTGACGATAACCTTCTTATTTGTCTGAAATACAGCTACACGCATGCAGAGTTGAGCTCTAGAAATTTGTCTTCTAGAACTAATCGGGCAACTTTTACTAACACTTGCTTTCTGTGAAAAGTGCTCTTGTAATACCTAACAGAGCTTCATGTCCATGTGTTTCACCTTATTTGCAGAGCCTGGTCTTTACAGCTAAATGTGACACTGTTAGGACCTGGAGCAGGTTGCTCATTGGAGATGGCCCTGATGTGAAAGTAAGTGATGAATTTCACTGGACCATGTAGAGCTTTATACCAGGTGGAATTGAAGTTGAGTACAAGTGAGATTTAGAGGCTGCCAAAAACTTGTGAGGCATATTTTGTAGGTTCAAATTCTATAGCTTAAACCAATCTGCTTTCCCTCCTCTCTTCCTCAAAATTTAAAGCCCTGTAATACTTAATTTCCTGGTATCTATTTAGGTATAGCTTGGAAGTCTTAGCTGCCATGTATTAACGGTTGTTAATGTCTACCAATTGCTGTTACAGCTCTTCACGAGCCCTGTGGAAGGCAGTGGGGCAGCAGGAGCAGGAGATTTCTTCTGGGTGAGTCTAATATTTGGTGTGCTGTTCATGTGATGTGATGTTTTTTGGTTACAGTCTCAGAAACCTAGCTGAGCGCATTCTCATTGGCTGTGTTTCTGTATATCCTTAGCTCTCAAAGTATAATTGATGGAAGTTCTAGGGAAAAAATACTTCATTAGACTAAAACATGGACAGTAAATGTGTAAGACTAGCCATCTTCTGCACTACAGTTTTGCTGGCAGCACTATATAAAGGTCTTAACTGTATCAATTTACCCAAAGATATCATATGATGAAACTAACCAAAAATTGCTGGAATTACCGGCAGATTGACTGGTGGTGAGCAAAGGTTTTTCTGATGATATCCTTTACATTAACAAATGGGTTAATACTTTGTGTTGAATTGTTCAGCTTACCCATGCTGTTGTATTACAGGTGTTCACGCTGAAAATGTCTGATGAAGAAGGAATCTGATAAAACATGCACCTGAGCTTGGGGACTGGTGTTTGTAAACACAGTTTTCTGCGCTAAGATGTTAAGAAATGGTAACAGTTACAGCTTTGATTACATGTATATTAAAATTCTTTCAAAAAAACCCCAACTTGGATCTGTTCTTGTCACTTTACTGCATTAAGGAATGACTTTGCATTACACAACATGTTTTTAGTTGAACATGCTGAGCACTCCTATAATGTGCTGTATTGTGATAAAGTAGATGTATATACACTGCAGTATAATTACTGCAGATAATACAAACGCATTTTAGTTGCGTAAGCATTCTGTCTGGTGTTTGGTAATTTACTTGCTTTAATAAACAGTTTAAACAAGTGATACTAACACTGCTGCAGTAATTACTGGAGAGATTAAGCCTTAAATAGCCCTTAAGCAAGAAGAGCAAATGCAGCTATTTCTGTAGCTTGTTCCAGGCTTGCTAATTCTTCATGATTTTGACTTCAGCCTTTTTTAAAGTCTGCTACTGAGGTAGCGGAAGCTGTTCCTACAGCAGTAGAATTCTACCGATGTTCTGCATCTCTTCTAAATAATGATCCAAATGTGCAAATCTAAAATTAATTGCCAGATGTGGGAAAAGGGACTTGTACTCTGCAACTTGTCAGCATTCTTCAGTGTCACTAATAAGAGTAAAAAAGGCTGCTTTTGTGATAGTTACTCATTCTAAGGTTGGTTTACAATGTAGGTTGATGAACAGAAGGTAACAAGATTTGGGGGAATCTTGGGGACTAAAAATGGAGGTTCCTGAATGAGAAATACAGCATCTGAGGCTGCAACTTTACACTTCGATTCATTGTGTCAGTATAACTGGCAGGCTATAATGCTTCAATGCTCTGTTTATATTTATAGGGAGGTATGGAATGTAAGACTCTCCTTAAACCTAGAACGATGGAGCACGTCCAGTGAGACATTTCATGCAGATGTTGCTGATAATTTTGCCCACTCGGTGTCACCAAGTGCAGGATTTTAGTGCAGTCATCTTTAGCATGTGCTTTTTGAAAAAGGTAAACATCATTAATAAACTTAATTCCTTGGGAGCACATGCTCATCCTGTGACAAGGATCAAAGTAAATGTTAACTGTACAGCTCCAATTAGAAGATACTTTGGTATTGCTTCTGAAAGTGATGAAACCTTCAGCCAATTGGAAACTTCGCCAGAGGGGGTGTGGGTAAGAAAAAGCTGTTTAGGATAGTCAACAAAACAGTCAAAATGGTAGTTTGTGATGAGTAATGTTTTTACTCTAGCAATTTAGGTGAACAGTTTTTGGCTGTCATAAAAAAAAAAGCAGGGATAGAGCTTTACCTGGAGGTTTGAGGTCCATAAAACCACTGTTGTTATCCCAGATCTGGGTTCTTAACCCAGTGTGCAACAACTGTTTCACACACTGAGTCGAGGTATTTGCTTTTATTTCATTTCTGCGCAGAGATGGGTGCTAGGTGGTAACCCCTCAAACCTAGCACCTCATTCCAACAACCACATACATATCCTGTTATGACTAAAGAAAACCCATGTAAGTTCGTATCTATTGGCTAGTGATCGCTACATCATTTGCTATTGGTTAATTAAATTAGCCTTGCTTGCTTGGATTTGGTTTGAGTCTGGTTGCGATCTCCCCTCACCGCTTTTGCCTTTCCCAAAGACTGCAAATCTTTGCTGACCTTGTGCCTCTTTAGCAATTATCCAGCCTTTGGCTGGGCCTTCTGAATCAGGATGTTTCCCTTTTATCAGTCTTTATTACCTAGACTTTTGAGTCAGAATGTTCCCCTTTTGTTGGTCTCAGCTCTTTTTCAGGGGTATAGTCACCAGTTCTGTGCTAAGGCAAATACTTGCTTATCTCTGAGCTCCTTCTAACCACCAGATCCTGTTGCACATGATTCCTTAGGCCCACCTAGTGAGAAATTCCATTTGCTGAGGTGTATCATGGTCGCCGTGCAAGCTTGTTTATTTTCATGGTCGGACAAGGGAAAAAGCAGTGGTGACAGCAGAACATAAATGTAAATCGAGTCCTGTGTCATAGATGAGACTTCAGGGACTGTCCCAGGTGTCCCTGTGCTTCCCTGTGTAATTAAGGTGAAGACCTGAATATCTTTTCTTGACTGTTTAACCTCCTGGCTGATTACCTGAAAGAAAGAAGATGCTATGACTTGTTGCTGCTCCCCTGGCATCACAAGTCAGCTTCCCTGTCCCTCCAGTAGCACCGGTGAACCCTGACAGTTGTGAAACGAGAACATAGCTGCGCTTGGGGCGTAAGTTGTATGGAATGTGGGGTTTCAGAGGTTTCTCTCAGTGAAAAGTCAGAATTACGTACTTAAATCGCGGAGGCACAGGTTTAATGTTTTTCAGGGAAATGTCAAAAAGCTATATAGAGTGCTTGATACTATAATGTGCAGGTAAATTAATCTGGATTTTTCCTAGGAACATTACTGTGATACATGCAGGGTTTGATAGAGACATTCAAACTGGGTAATGGAGTGTGCAAAACTTGTTTGGAACTAATTTGTTCTGAGCAGTATGAAGAACAGGTTGCTCTGATGTTTATTTGAATTAAATTTTTAAAGTAGATTCTGTTCCAAGCGTTTAATGAAACAAAACTATTTTCCCCTGATTTTTAAGAGTTTGTGTGTCAGAATGTGTTGACAGAACGCATTTCTTACCTGAGATGATATGCATTGGAAGTAAAAATGGTTTTAAAGGTTTCCGAAAGAGCACAAGGAATCCACCTTCTTTTTTTAAATGGGACTCTGGCCGTTAACAATAATGGAGGTAAGAGCAGCCACATGCCCTCAGTAAACAGAAACAACTCGGCAAATTTTTGCTTGTCTGTTTTGTGTGCTCTTTAATTTGCTCAGGATAGGTTTGCTGCAACTTGGTTTTGTAATTGATCTTTCTAGTATGTATCAGAATTCTCTCATTAAAACAGAAGAATTGATTTGGGAATACTTACATAAACAGGAGACAGTTTATCTGGGTTTATTGAGGTCACAAGTTGGCAGTGTCTATTACCGTTAACTATTCATGAGTTTCATTTTAGCATTACTTGTTTATTGTTTCCATCAAAAACCAAAGTTCCTCAGCAGGGATCCTCTAACAGGCTGGTTTTTGCTTAAGATGAATGAGTGTTATTGCCACAAGAATATGGTACTTTTTGAACAAAACAGGTGTCCTACACATATTCCTATGATCTTACATGGGAGCATGTATAATCTTACTATTTATCTTAGAGTGCTTGGGGGGAGGGGAAATAATTCTGTTTTGATTACATTTGGAGCACATCAACATTACAGTATTGGGGAATAAACAAAAAAAAAAAATCCTGATTTTAAAATACAACTATTTTGGATTTTCTAAACCCTTAAGAGAACAGTTGGCAGGAGTCCCTGGCACTTAACAGCAGCCAACAACCAGGATAAATCTGAAATAAATGAAAGGATTGAAGCAGAAAGGGAAAAAAAAAATCTTACACAGTGAAGCTCAGAATGGCTGAGTGCCAGCTTTTAGCAATGAGAGAGATGGCAATGTCATGTAGTAATTCATTTGTGAAAGAAAACACAGTGATTATGTATTATCCACAAAATACGTGCTGTGACTGCTGACCTGATGGAGAGCGGCTGCTCTGGGTGATGGTCTGCCTGTGTGCATCTTTCCTTCCATACTGAGGATGCCAGCTGCAAAAACCACTTCTGTGATACAAATACGCCCTTAGCAGTAACGACTCAAATCCTCCGGCTCCTTTTTATGTCGGGCACTAAACAAGGTGGGGTGGGGCTGACCCTAATCTCTGTCCAGGGAATTTGCTGTGTGACTATGGTTAGGAGGCACAAACTGCGGGCAGCTCATTGCGCCTCACGTTTGAGGTAGAACGAATTCAAATGGATGTTGTGGAAATGGTTCCCTTGCATGTGCCAGAGGTGGTGCATGGGTTTCATCCCTTCTTCCCAATGCTGCATGAAAACGATGAAGGACAGGAAAGCAAGTGTGGTGGCTCGTGTCCTGGGGTGGCTCATGTCCTGGGGGGGGGAAGGGGGAGAGAATTAACAGGGGGAAATAGCTGCCTTGTGAGTACTCAGTTTCCTTTTTGTAAATCACAAGCTTCACTTTTCATATAAATGCTGGTTATCGTCATTATTTCTTGATTAGGATTATAAAGCGATCATATCTATATCAGCACTAAAATAATCACTCATACAAACCCATAAATTACTGTAATTAATATATCCCAGCTATTAACTAAAACCTAAAGGTGTTCTTTCTTGGCGTGGTAGCCGCTGTTTCAGCAGAATCAGCTGTAGCTGGCTCTGTCTACTTAATGAGAAGAGTGGAAGGGATATACTGTGTATTTTACCTTTTCAGAATGAAATAGGTCCTGAATTGTGAAGCTTTACTCTTTCTTTTTTTCTCTTGAAGCCAGATGGAAGAGCAGTTAATTTTTCAACTCTTCTCTCCCTCATTTCAAATTAGTGAAAGAGAAGCAAAGCACTGTCAAAGGAGTTGCTGTTTTCTAGCAAGGAACAACTAAGATGATACTAGTGTCATGCAAGGAAAATTTATGGGTTTGTTTTCTTCCAACTGCCCCATTAGCAGCAACTCTGAGTTGCTCCGAGCAAAGAATGAAGGCTCAAAAAAAGGCAATTTGGCCTTTCTCAAGCTCACCCAGGGCTCAGGCTCAGCGATGTTCCTAGCACCTGATTGACTTCATGCTGCCAAAGCTTTATCACATTTCACATGTTCCTGTAAAGAAGGACGAGGTTGGCACATCATTTAGTGGTCTGGTAGGACCATTGAATCATAGAATGTTTTGGGTTGGAAGGGACCCCTAGAGGTCACCCAGCCCAACCCCCCTGCAGGAGCAGGGACACCTTTAACCAGATCAGGTTGCTCACAGCCCCGTCCAACCTGGCCTTGAAGGTTCCCAGGGATGGGGCCTCCACCACCCCTCTGGGCAACCCGTTCCAGTGTTTCACCACCCTCATAGGAAAGAATTTCTTCCTTATATCCAGTCTAAACCTACCCTGGTTTAGTTTAAAACCATTACCCCTTGTCCTGTCACAGCTGG